AAAAAATATTTTAATTTTCTCGTATGAGTTTAATTTTTGTATGAGAAATTACGGGTTTAAAAATCATAAAATTATATTTGTAGATACATAATTGTTGATAATTCAAATTAAATGCGGTCAAATAATAAGTTAAAGCTTTCTTTTTTAATTAATGGAGTCAAAACTATATAGGACAAGAAGCTTTGAGCTTAAATGTACCGTACTCTATATAAAATATATTTATATTTACGAGTGTACATAAATTACGTATCTATGTAAGCAAATACTTAATGATTAATTAAATGCAGATGAGCCGCAATGTAATTACTTCTCTTTCCATATAGTTCCCACGTGCGTACGTATAGATAGATATCTGTATTAAATATATACAGCTCTAAATACATGTATGGATTTATTCAAATATATACGAGTATAAACATGTTTGGATCCATTTTTAACTATATCAACATAACATATACAGACATGTATATGTATATGTAATCATCAACGCATGCATACATGTAGGTGAAAATTAAAGAAGATAAAGAATTTGCTGATGATTTTTTTTTTTTTTTTAATTTCAACCCTGGAAGTACATATATATATATATATATAGTATTGCAGCGACAATGGTGGTGATCATTTTGAAATTACAATGCTGCAAATCCGCAAAACCCAGACTATATGTATATATATATATATATATGTCCTACTTACTCTTGCTTGTCCAGATGGTTTTGGAAGCAGTACTATGAGCAGGACCACAAGCATCCGTCGTCGCCACGAACACCACCACCTCTTCCTCCTTCATCCTCCTTCCACCACCGTTCTGCTTCTTCTCCATCTTCCCGGATTCGATTTTCTCAAAACGGCACCGTCTGCTACTTTCATTAAACTTTCGTCGACTGGTACCCATAACATCTGTGTTAACAAATGGATAGGCACTTGGACCTGAAGAAGCATCAGAAGCCATGGAATCATCACTGTCGGCCTCTTCACGGTCACCAAGATCATCATCATCCTCCCCACCGTCATGGCGATCACCATCATCTTCATAGTCTCCGTCATCGTCGTCGTCATCTTCCTGGTCATGATGATAATCACCATTTATAGGGGAGCCAATATACATTGTCCACCCAGATTCACTGCTGCGACATTCTTCTCCAAAGATTTGGGAAGCTGACTCCATCTCTCCGTCATATATATATATATATATATATATATATATGTGTGTGTGGATATTAAAAAAGATGGAGAGAAGAAGGAGGTTGAGCGGTCTTATATAGGAAAGAAGCTAATTAAGGAGGGTGTTTGGCACCTGAGAAAACCACTATGCTCTGACCACAGACAGCTTTGTACACGAAGAAAAGAGAAATAATGAAGTACCCATCTGTATTTTTCTTCTTTTTTTAATTTCCGAAAGCAACCCAGAACAAAAAATAAAAGAACTCAATAAGTTTTAGTGGTTAGCTGGAATAAATTTCTACCGTCTGGAAATCTAGATACACATTTAATTTTCCTTCAGCAGAAAAACCAGAGAAGACAGCTAGAAGAAGTTGTCAAAAGAAAGCGATTAATAATAATATAAAGGAAAGTTTCTTGAATTTGAAAGGACAAGAGGGAGGTTTGATAATTATTCATCTGTAATTTCCAATTCACTTGTGTGTGCAGTGAGTGGATCATAAATAAAAAAGGATGATCTTAAATGCAAAAGCCAATTTGGCTCAGTCTACAAAACAAGAAAGAATGTAAGACCCATGTCTTAAATATGCTTGATAGGACCTCTTCAATCCCTCTTTTAGCCTATCATTCGACCTACATAAATCTGTAATCCAATTTTGGTCGTAAATAATTTTATTTATTTTTTTTAGTAATTAACTATATCATAACATAATTTAATTATTATAAATTAAAATCTATACATATACCAACGGATTATTTATAATAATTATAAAAATTATTTACAAATTCAAATAATTATGTTAAAATTTTGGAAGTCTGGTTTTAAGGGTATCGGAGAAGGTGTTGCCAAAATATCTTTTTGCTTCTTCCTCTGATTTGCTGGCGCCTGTTTCCTCAGAAAGCAATGTTGTTTTGGAATTCGCCGCTCTATTATAAATTTCCAGTAAATCAAATTTTATCCACCGGTAAAATTACATTTTACCTCTCTGTCATTTCAGGTTCACTGGAAGAAATTAATTAAACATTATGATATAATCTTCACACTGTTAAATTTACCATTGTAAATAAATAAACTAACTGCGTTTTTTCTTCTGAAATTAATATTTAATTTTCAAAGGAGTACTGAAAACTGATGAGTGAAATAATATGATCGGACAGATAACTTCCAGACTTTATTTCTGTATTTACTTTTGAAGTGACTTAATTTTATTTTTATTTTTTTTCTTTTACAAATTTAAAAGAAATTCTGAGACGACATTATGTTTTGCGTGTTGATGTTAACATTCTTTTTTTTTTTTTTTTTTCTATTCTTATTATTAATTTATTAATTTTCTCACATCTTTAACACTATGTTTAATCGGCCTAATATATATATATATATATATTACCCATTAGGTCAGTCATTATTTTCTTCACAAAAAAAAAAAAAAAAAAAAACCTCTTTGTCATATATATATAAATATATATGTATAATTATAATAATATAGTTTATCTTTTTAAAATATAATATGGGGTTCGAAAATTAATAATTTTTGTTATGTTCAATTTTGAAAATAAAATCGTATGGGACTTTAAATTTTTTTTTTTTTTTTTAATAAAATGGTACTTCAATTCTCCTTTATGGTAAAAAGTACTTTTTTAACTTTT